TTGTAAATGTTGTTGGTGCTTTGTTTCTCTTGGTGAGAATTGATTTTTTTTTGTTTAAAGTAATTTACAACCGTCAAATAAGACCTAATAAATCTTCAATATTTAGAAATTTGCCGAAAACGTAGTTGAATTCTTTATGCTATATTGTTCAAATAACGTAACAATCATATCTATGATATTATGTCGTTTTCTTGTTTTCTTGTTTTCTTACTAAAATTAATTACTTCTTTCAGCGTGATTCCTATTCAGATGCGAAATACGAAATTGCACATCCCGAAGAAAATAAAAACGCCCCATCATCCGATTCAAATACTCGACCGAATACAATGCACGAGTCTAGTAATGCGGCCAAACCGACCCGACCGGTAATTCAAGGTCAAGGTCATCAAACTAATAATACGAACAATTTTGCTCAGCCTGAAGTTAAGAACAATCAAAGTCAACCTAGTATGACTAATCCGTACTACGTTCCTCCTGCTCACGTCATTGGGAATCAACAATATTATTATTATGCCTAAGAATATTTAGACAATATTTACATGGCATAAATTTTGTATTATAAATAACATTATTTGAGAATGGTATCAAGAGCTTTGTGTATGACTGTAGTATATTATAGAATTTAATATATTGAGTGTATTGTTGTTTCCATAGCAATTCATTCAATATATGTTCATTATTTGATATTTACACAATTAGAGTTTCAACGCATTTTATAAAAATTACATTAAATTTTGAATTATCCTAAAATCTTATGTTTGTCATTATTTTATTGCCAACAATATTTATTCTCCTTTACACTTTTTTCTCTGTTACAAGGGTAACGTAGCGATGAAACTAAAAAAATACGAAATGAATAATGACAAGGCTAGCAGAGTTTTTTTTCTTATTTTTGGTCGCATGAAATGCATCACCCTTGCGTCCCTACCGCATTGGTACAGATATGTACGTGGCGCATGTGGAGTGAAATTTCCGGTTATATAATAAATTGGATTATAAGATTGAAAGTCGGAAATTAGATAAATTGGAATTTATAAAATGAAATTTATATAAATTATTATATTAAAAAATATATTGATTCTTGTTATTTTTAATTTATTCTCTCTTTTTTTTTTAAAGTCAACAAAGTTGATTCACTTAATTATACAGTATATTATTAACAACAAAAAAAATTTAATTTTTAATAAAATGAATTTACAATCTTATATTTCTATTGATCCACAAGCATATTATAATTGAATTCAATATATACAAGAATTAGAAAATAAAATTAAAAATCTAAAAAAATTCAAATTCAATATACATAATTAGAAAATAAAATGAAATATATAAAATATATAGAAATTCTAATTTCACAAAATAAAATAATATTAAAGTTATAACTTTAAAAATTATTACAATATAATGCAGAAATTTTAATATTACAAAACAATTATTATATTTGAAATTTAAAATTTAACAAATAATCATAATATAGAAATTTCAATATTACAAAATAATTATTATAATAAAATTTCAGATTTAAAAGATAATTATAATAAAAAAATTTCAATATTAAAAAATAATTATTATCTTGAAATTTAAGATTAAAAAATAATTATAATATTAAAATAATTATAATATTAAATTTAAAATTTAAAAAAGGATTTAAATATCTTTAACAAAATTCAAATATAGAATCTTTTTCTAAATTTTTTAATAATAATAATACAATTTTAATAAATTTATTATATAATCAATAATATATTAAAAAAAAATCTATTATATACAAATTCAAATCAATTTATTAATATATTTAAACAAAA